TATACCTGTTATGATTTGACTCTTTAGAAGAACTTTGATCGCCAAAGTCGTAAGAGCATATAGCAATTTTTCGAGACCTTTGGTACAAATTCCATCCGATTAACATTTCAATCGTCAATTTTTTTTTTATAATATCCTTTTTTTTCAGCTCACGAACAATCAACAATTTGAGCAGAGAAATATGAATCCATCCCAGATAATTGGACAAGCCCAGGCACAACAAATTTGGGATTCAAATATTTTTCAACAGTTTAAAGAATTTATGGAAATGCAGCGTGCTTCCCAAATGTCTTCCAGTTTCGATCGAACAACCGTCGGACATAATCGTTCATTGACGGCAATGGTTGCACCTCCTCTTGAATTGCCAAGTGCTGGTGATTTATTAAGAGACACGATACAACAAACACTTGCTTCTTTAGCTGCGACTCGTGTCGAACAACGAGCCAACAATCAGAAAAAAAGAAACAATTATTACTGGCACCTAATCCAATTCAATAACAACACCATCCATCAATGTCTGGTACAATAGTAGGTCACACTTTGAACTTATCAATCGAGCAGTTACTCCAGTATGACAAGTAATTATGTTATTTTCTTTTCCCTTTTTTTTTTTACATTTGACTTATTTAGCTATCGTTTCCTCCCTATGAAAATTTCATCTCGAATCTTGTTGTTTCTTCTCTTCGTAATTTTGATGACGATGAAAGATCCCTAAATAAATTTAATAGTTTTCATAATATTTTGCTTACATGTTGGGGATATTATTCTAACAAAAGTCTTCAGACCTTGTCTGTTAGGAGTCTATTCAAACATTATGAACTTTTACTGATTTTCTTGATGTCGTATATGGTATTTTCACGAAAAATGAATAGTGAACATTTAATTTAAATTTTCTTCGATTGTAGATCTGATGATCCTATAATTCTCTAAAAGTATTAGTGGAAATAAATGTTGTTTTTCTACAAATATTCTATAACTGGAAATTCAGTCATATTTCAATTACTTGGGGATCTTCATCGTCAGTAAAAATAATCTTTCCGAGATTTCTTTTAGAAATGTGCGATAGGAAAACAAACTTTTTTGTTTTTTCCCTGTTTTGTTATGAAATAATCGAAGTAGAAGTTATCTTTTGACAAAAACAAATTTTTATGCAAGAGATTTGTTTTTTTCTCATATATGAGTTCCATCATTATGTTTTCCTTTCTTTTTTTTTCCTCTAACTATCAAGAACCATAAAAAGATGCATATGTACATATCTTGGCCTGTTATAACTGTGATAATGTTTGTAAGTTTTTCTTTGAACATATTTTTCGTTATTTGTTGAAACAAAGAGAAAATAAAAAAGCAGTTGACAGCATTGTTATAGACGGGAGATGTTTTTTGACTTTGATGGTATGCTTAAAAGCACGCGAACAACCATTATCAATATATTATTTGTCACATAAAGATCTTTTTGTATTAAAAGCAAAGTCTTATTTCCAATGTAAATCAACTTTACCTATACTTTATAGATGCTAATATATGCTCGCTAAATACTCAGTCATGACAAATTCTTCTACTATAACTCAGCAACAATGGATTTTAATGCAAGACTTATCAAATTATGTTCCAATACAATATTGGTCAATGTTGGACTGGATGAATGATTCTCTTGGACCAAGTACGTTTTTCTTTTTACAAAATGAAAAATTTTGATAACTCATACCAGAACTTTATCTTTAAAATCATTGAAATGCCATCCAATTCTAGTAACTTTTCGATATGTCGTTGAATTTAAATAAAATAATTCCTTGTACTCTTAAGCTTTGGAAAATACTCACCCGTTGCTTTATAAAGATCTTACATCTCTCTCAATGATCAATATTATTTTATTTTTTTTTCGCAGATTATCATTCAAAATTTGAAGATATGTCCAAATTCTTCAAATTATTTTATAATATAAATATCGATCCTTCAGTTTTACAATTAACATATGGTTGTTTTGGAACGGACCTGTCTAGATTTAAAATGTCTAACAACTTAAATCAACTTATTCAAGTGTTCTCTACTACTAATCAACTTCCATTTTTCACAACATATCATATATATCCAAATGAATCTCAGTGTGTTCAATGTAATAAAACTTTTGGCAGTGGTTCAAATTCGAGTCGACCTATTCACTTGTATCTCCAAAAGTATGTTTAATTCTCGATATCAGTAACTCTCAACATACTATTTTCTTTAAAATTCCTAAAACATGAAGCGATATTTAACACAAGTTTTTATTCCATTGACTGTAAGTCTATGGTCATACGAAAAAAAGTTGGTCATGCGAAAAAGTACAAAGTGTTTGTGTGTGTGTGTTTGTCCGTACAGAGGTGTGACGGACGTAAGCACACACGGTGACGGACGTACATACATATAGTGACCAGTGAGTGTGACGGACGTACATACATATAG